TGCTTGGTTTTTGGTGCCTGCCGCTCCTGAAGCTGCTCTCTGAACATGAGGACAAAACCGTGGCGTCAGGGCAAAGTTGGGTCCGTTTTTCAGTAATTGGTCTGAAGATTTTTTCTCTGACACTCACCTCCGTACGTAGCCATGACGACCTCCAGAGCACAGGCCAGCAGAGAGGTGTGGAAGGTGGAGTCATTCAGGAGTTTACTGGAAGACACCAGGGTCAGTCAGACCCAGCCGTGAGCCACTGATAAATATTTACCACTTTTATGACTTAGAATTTAAACAAATAATAAATAAATTAAATACCTGAAGTTTTGCACAGAAAGTCGTTTCTCTTCCTGAAAAAATTCAAGAAAAATCTCAGAGCAGAAACACAAACTGAGCACAGACACCTGGCCTTTTCTCTGTTATACAAAATCACCTTCTATCTCAGTGGTGCCCAAAGTAAGGGGCAGGGTACCCTAGGTGGACGTGAAGCCATATCAGGCAAAAACATTTTATAATCAATTTGAATATTTTCCTGACTTGTTTCGCAGTAAACAAAGATCTGATCGATTCTTTTTTACTTTCAGTTAGAAACAGAACTTGCAGTAAACCGCAGACGCCACCGTACCGATTTCAGCATGGCCTCCATGACTTTGTAATACAGTCTGACTCCCAGGGTAAACCTCTGAAAGACAAAATAAAAATGTTGGTCAACGTGAACATCTCACAGAGACGTCGTTGTTATTCCACTTCCATTCAGACCTCAGCTCATTTTTTATTTTTTTTTCACCTGATTTCCAAGAAGGACGCAGCGTGGTCCGACGGCCTGACCAAATCGTTGGCTGAACCTCTGGTCCAACATCTCCAAACGCTTCAGCACGCCCTGCGTCGGGTCCACGGTGCAGTTCTGAATGAGGAGTTTGTACAGATTTAGGAAAATTATTTTTTTTTCTAGTGATGTTTTTATTTTGAAAGAATTTCTCTTCAATAGAAACCGTTTTTTTTCACTCACTTTGAAATATGTGGTGAGTGTAGTGGATGGTGTGTCTCCAGTGGAGATGAGGTCGCCTCTCAACTGCTGGATGGAGGTCATGGCCGCCCTGAAGACACGACACAGACAGGGAAACAGGTCAGACATTAAAAGTCCTGAACCAAGTCCTGAGGACAACCTCAGTCCCCAGTCTTCTGTCCCCTGTCCCCAGTCCTCTGTCCCCTGTCCTCAGCCCTCTGTCCTCAGTCCAGGGTGAAGGACTTCAGTCCTTCTCAGTCGACCTGTCGTCAGCTGATTGAAGTCACTTCTCACCTGATCGGTGTCTGTGGAGGAATGATGACGCCGTCTTCATCTGGAAGGTTCTTCTTTGGTGTTCTCTCCACCTGTAGTCTGAGGGAGAGAGAGAGAGAGAGAGTCACCTTCACATTCTAACAGCTGGACAGTCGACAATAAACACCTTCAGGAGCAGACTTTACATTTCCACTTTTGGCAGCAGAACAGTCGGGTCTTCGTCGAAGAACAGCCGTCCGTCGATGTCCCTGCTCCTGAGGTAGAGTTCTTCATACTGTTTGTCCAGGTCGTTGGACTGGAGAGAAAGAAAACATTAACATCAAATTAATTATCAACAAGAAATAAAAGCAATGTTTTCAGGACTGTGGTTCTAAAGTGGGGGGGCGGAACACCCTTGATGGCACAAAGCTGCTGCAGGTGGGGGGGGCATAAATATTATTTACAGTTTGAATCATTTCTTCTTTTCTGTCTCATTGTTTGAGTCACTTTGTCACAGGTAAATTTAAGTCATGTGGTCAATCAAGATGGCCGGATCAAACATTATTAACTTGATAAACTAAACTGAATTTATATTCAGTTTTTTCAAATTAATTACTAGACATTTCAGGTGACGTCAATCAAGATGGCCGGATCAAACATTATTAACTTGATAAAGATAAATTAATTACTAGACATTTCAGGTGACCCTAATTTGAATATCAGGGGAGCCCTTGTGTGGTCGTGATCCCAAGGTTGAAAAACACCATGTCACATTTAAAAAAACAAATTAAATTATTTTTTCTTTTGGTTTAAAATCCATGTTTCTGACTGAAAACCAAATCTTAAAAATGTCAGACTTCAGTGGAACAGTTCCATCCAGGACCGACAGAGACTGAGACGTCATTTACTCAGGTGTGACACTGTTGTCTGATCATAGAGGGTTTTTTTTAAATCTACGTCCCTGCTCCATACGGAGGTGTCCACCACCTGTCACTGTTACCGTAGCAACACAACAGCACCGTGCTGTACGTGAGAGCGTTACTGAGAAGCCTGTCAGCAAACAGTGGCATCCTGTCTCCACTGTTGTCATAACTGTACGTGAACGGCCCCCCAGCCTCGGCTTGAGTCAACACCATCCTGACATCAATGAACGTAAAGAGTAAACATGAACGAGCGTGCGGAGAGAGAGAGAGGGAGAGAGAGAGACACTGAGACCTTACCTGAGGGACATCAGATGATCTTGACAGATCCAACGAGTCCAGGAAGGCGGAGAAACTGTTCTGGTACACGTTCTTCACCTGCAGTGGAACGATATATGAAAAAGACTGAAGTGAAGCAGAAAGACGGAAAAATATTTTATATTTAATGACATAAAAAAAAAAAATCTGATTTCCGAACCTCCTCTGCGTTACAGTCATTCTCTTTGCACAGCGTCTCCAGCAGCTGAACGTCCACCTCCGGCTCTGGAGGTCGGATGGACTTGGCTTTGCCTTGGTAACGACGGGATGTTCGAGTGGGGGGGCTCTGGACCTTAGTAATGGCTGATTCTGACAGAGAAAGGGGTGAGGGGTCAGGGGTGAGGAGGGTCAAACTCAATCAGTCAAGGGGTCAAAACTTAAAACCAAGACTTCGTCGTGGTCCAAACATGTAGCTTATCCTAACTGTATATTTGATAAAGGTTAAAGTAAAGACTGAGTTAATCCACCAAACACACACACACACACACAAAGAGAACGATAATTTAACCCAGGGGTGTCAAACATACTTGACACTGAACGTCAATGCAGAATCTTCTAACCTTTCCAGAAAATGAAATACTTGTATTTTCCAACTGAGAACTCTGTTAAAGAATGTTCCATCTTACTGTACGGAGGCTGCAGCAGGCTGACGGGACAGCGTTTGATGAAGAACTCCAGCGTACACAGCAGCAGCTGGAACGCTATGACCAGGTCGTCCTCCATCTGCAGCACTCTCCCTGTGAACAGCAGAGAAACGACCGGTGAGAACGGGCATCGCCGCCTCAGACAGGGAGAGGAACAGGTTCCATTCCCGAAGAACAAGATACGAAATGACGAGGACACGGTGGCCAGACGTGTCCAAACCTTCACCAACCTTTGGCTAAAAGAAACATAGTCCAGCAGCTCCTCATCGTCTCCCGCTCCCTTAGAGAATAAGACACACAGATGTTACAGTTAAACTGATAAAACACCACGGACGACATCGGGATGTTAGGAATCAGGAGGAACGTTGACGTTTTCAACTTACTTCTCATTGGACACCAGCGAAAAGATTCTCTTACAAGTCCTGGGACAAAAAAAAAAATTTTAACTTAAAGCAAAAATATGAGAGAATAAAAACATACAGATAAAAAAAAAATCAAAGAATTGAAAGGATAGTCTCTCCCAATTTACCACCTTTGTGTCTCCATTTACTTTTGTTATTTAAATATATTTATATTTGTACAGGGAACCATGTTTCTTCAGCGTAAAAAAAGCAAAAAATTTAAAGGATAGTATCTCCAAATTTACCACCTATGTGGAACTCCTTTTCTACAATTTCATGAAAGCGACATTTGAATTTCCTTTCTTTTTTGTCATTTTTACAGCCTTTATTGTGTCTCCATTTACTTTTATTATTTAAATATACTTTATATTTGTATATATATACACACTTGTACAGGGAACCATGTTTCTTCAGCGTACAAACGACAACAAACTCTTGGATTGTTAGGACAGCGGTGGTCACTCACTTCTCAAACCTCTGGTACAGGGCCAGAGTCACGTCGTACTTCTTCTCCAGTCGCGTCATGGCTGCGTTGACTTTGGTGGTGATGGTGTCTAAGTTCACGTCCATCTTCCTGACCACAGACAGGAAGTCTTTCACGCTACGAAAAAAACAAACAAACAAGGATTTAGGAGAGGAGCATTTTCATTGATGAACAAATCAATATATTGCGATATATCGTATTATTGCCCCTGTATCGTATCGTATCACCAGATTATTACCAATACACACCACTAACACGCACTGAGGTGGAAAAAAGTCGACACTTACTTCAGACTGACTGCTTTCAGGACCTGAGTGAGAGTGAAACAGGAGACGTCCAAGTCTGTCACCGTCACAAACAGACAGCCCCCCCACAGGCTGGTCTGGAGTAGGAAAAAAAAAAAGTGTTACCTTAACGTTTCCATCAAATCAATGAACTAATGACGTTTCATCACACATTTTATTACAGTATGACTGGGATTTTTTTTTTAATGTATACGACACAGTACATACAGACGCCTCATTGGTCGACTCTTGAACACTTTTCCACAGCGCCCAGGCACGATCACACACCAGGTCTGTGACCTGCAGACTTTTACACAGGTTCAGGAACGCTGCATCTTTGTCTCCGTGTCTGCAACAGTGAGACGCAAACAGGACGTGAAGTTTAGTTTAAATGTAATCACTGACTTTTTTATGTTTTATTTTTGAACCAGAAGTCTCATAAATGACATGAATGTACAGTATCAGTTCAGCAGCCTGAAAACACATTGATAAAATAAAAATAGACTAATCAAAGTGTTTAACTGACGGCGTACAAAAAGACAAATGTTCATGAAATATTAGCATGAATTCTTTCAATTCTTTGAAGCAACATTAGCACCTAAAAAATACACATCACATTTTAATAATTTATTAATAACATAACGATTACTTTGATAAATAACATGTGAAATCAAAGCTAACTCTATCTAATGTTGTCTTATTTTAAATATGATTAAAAGAACTCTTTGAACGACTAAGGTGAAGCATTTATTAAGAACTTTTAGTGTTTAACAAATAAAAATGATAATTTTATCATAATCCTATACAATGTGCTTTAAATTTATTGACTAAAACCACTGCATTCACTTCTGATATCTGTTGTAAATGATAAAAATAAACCAAAGTGGTTTTAAAGTGTTAGACAAACGTGTGCTACAACGAATAACATGTCAACACAAAAGCAAAATAATTTAAAGGGCGTTTGATGAGGCAAACATGACAAACAGAAATGTCAGTATTACAGTAGAACGGCATCACAAATAACATGTCACAGAAAACAGGTAGAATATGTCAATGTTTGGTTTTTATACTACAAGGTTTAAACGTAGAATATGTCAATGTTTTGGTTTTTATACTACAAGGTTTAAACTAAAGTTTTATGGTTGATTTACACACAGGCCTGGCTTTGTTAGGGCAGCTAGCATGATTAGTCACAGCTAACAACAGTTCAATTTATAACAACAAATTAGAAGCAAAACACTGCATCGACAGGAGAGGTGAACTGACCATAAAACTATACTAGTTATTGAAACCGAACCAAAACAACCAAAACAAAATAAGGAGAATAATTAGACGTAATAATTACACTTACTTTTTAACGGATAACTCTGGACTCCCCTTGTCTGCTTGAGCATTTTCTGCGCTGGGCTTCAAACCTTTGCTCTGTGTCGACCCAGAATTACGCTTTTTAGGTGGCATCGTACAGTCCGATCTGCTGAAATATAAATATTAAAGTACGACAGCAGAGTGTGTGTCTTTCTAAGGAGACAAATGATGTTTACTGAGTTTAAACCCTCACAGTTCCGTCGCTACAACACAAGCCCACTCGCTTCCTGAATGGGGACGCTCGGTCTGTTTCGCAGCAACGCGCGGCGGTGCGCCGTTGTCGCTGCTGATGCGCCGCCCCTCCCAGTGACTGCCGCAAATATTTGAGGCATTTTACCACGCACGTTGTCAACAGTTTGGTCGAATAAATACTACTTTAGCTTTAAACGTTGTAATCCATACTTCTAATGTATCTCCGTTAGATTTTGTACTTGTTCATTTTAGCTACATGGATAGTAAGCAAGTGAACGGTATACGTCTGTTTTGGCTGAGGGGTCACGTGATGATACGAAACCAAACTCACCCCAGCTCTGCAGTCAAAAACGCGGGAAAATCTCCATGCAACTTCCGCTTATTTACATGTGAAGCGCGACCGAGGAGAGTCATGGAGGTTTATCTGCCGTGACTGGTCCAGGAAGTACAGTAGAAAGTATTATGTAAGGACAGAGTTCTGTACACGGTTATATAATACATACATAATTAAATAAATAAAACAATATATACACATTTAGGGATTTACTGTCATTTACTGCGTGACAACAAAGAGAGTGCTAGAAATGGAACTGTTTGTGACATTAACTTGGGATAAGCCTAGAAAATGGGGATAAAATAGGACAATAACAAAATTAAAAGTGTTTTAATATTGAGGGATTACGACCTTTCCGTTACATTACAACTTAATATCATAAATGTGGACTTATTTTTTAATAACTACTTAAATCTCGTCATTGTGTTATTACCGACGTGACACTGCAATCAAATCAAAGTTTTGCAGTGTAAGCTGTGTGTATTTATTTTACTGCCGTTTCTATAAAACCAAAAATATTTCGGGGCGAAAGATTTAATCACTTATTTTTTTTCTCATTTCATCATAAACGACAATAAGCTGATGAGCAAAGACTTGTGGAAGATTTAATCACTTTTTTTTCTCATTTCATCATAAACTACAATAAGCTGATGAGCAAAGACTTGTGACGTATTCACACGTTGTAAATAATCATGACATTATCTCACCTGGTCAGGAAACACAAAAGTTACTTGTCGTTTTCGTCTCATTGCAGGTAACCAATGCTGGTCATCCATTGATTTTGATTCTCTTTCCGCAGCCTGTAGATCTAAATATGTACTCTTATTGCCCTCTAGTGGTAGATGTAATCACCTCCAACTGCTATTTTCCCCAGACACAGACGTTCACAAAAGTTTTAAAAATCACAGGATCCATTTATTGTTTAGAATTTGTCCTCAGATCATTTACAGATGACACTTTCAGTCCCAATTCCTCTAACATGTAATTATTTAAATACCGGTCCAGTGTTGACAACTGTGGACAGCAGATGGCAGTAAACTACGTAGACAATAAATAGTAACAGAATAAGATTGTCACATGACACATATAAAAGGAGGAGAAGCGGAACTTGAAGTGGTGTATATTAAAAAACACAAACAAAAAAACAACAATAAAAATACTGTGTAATAATACGCCTTTGTATAAATAATAAAGAGTAACTCGTCCACACTGTCCTGCAGAACACAGTCTTTGGACACATCCACCAGGGCCCAGCCGGGGCCCTTAGCATCGTGATAGTTAATAAAAAAAAAAAATCACATGACACAAAAAAGCGAGTCTTCTCGTAAGGTCATGCCTGGCTCCCAGACTCCCACGTCATGGCAGTAAAGTCCATGTCAGTGAGCGTGACGGTGAACGGCCCCTCCACCCTCTCAGGCTCCATGCTTTCCACCTCCAGCCTGGTGGTGTTTGTGTTGTTGGACCTCCACGTGTTCAGCGGTCGGATGGACTTCTGGAAACGCTGCGTGAAAAAAAAAAAAACCATGGTTAAAGATTAAAGATTCTACGTGTTCAGAACGTTATCACGGCTACAGTGTGTGTGTGTGAGAGGCCGGAGCTGACGGAGCGACAGTGGCGGTGATACTGACTTCCTTCAGCGTTCCTGTTTCCTTGCAGATGGCGACGGCGGCCCAGATGAGGATCTGGAGGCAGCAGGTCGCACCCATGCACACGCCCAGAGCTTTGCCCCACAGAGGGTACACGTAGGAGCCATACTTGAGTGGAGTGTTGTACATCTCAATGAAGATGTACGTCAGGATGAACTACAGCCCCAGGGGTGGGAGAGGGGGGAGAAAAGAAGAAGAAGAACAACAGAGGAAGGTTTCACCTTAAACATTGACAACAGAAACAGCAGAGAAAACAACGAGGTCAGTGGAGAAATCCAGCTGCAGGAGGATCCACTGGTGTCAGCTTCCACTTCAGTCTCTGTCTCTCACATGATTCATAGAAGTGTGGAGCACAGTGTAACGACTAGAGCAAGGGTGTCAAACTCATTTTCTGTGGGGGGCGGGGGGGTACATCACCAATATAGTTCCCCTTGGAGGGTTGGTTGTAAATGGATTAATGCAACTACTCTGTAATGTATTAATACATGTTCCTGCATTTGATTATTATTTATTCAAATTACAAATATTGTTCATTATTATCATCAATAAAAAAAAAACTTAAAATTCATCAGGTTAGAAAACTCTGCTTGCATGGACTTTAATAAATGCTTTTTTATTTTTTACTCCCACGGGCCATACAAAATGACTTAGCGGGCCGCATTTGGCCCCCGGGCCTTGAGTTTGAAAAAAGGCTAATGCTACCAACAAGATACGAAAGTTGTACGTTAATCAACCCAAACTCACCAGCAGGAGAAAGGGAGTGCAGAAAACCCAGCAGGCTTTGAAGTAAACCAACACTTTGCTGCACCAGGGCGGACAGTGTTGGATCATGTCGATGATGTCATCACAGAACTGGTTAACGCCTGAGTTGGGAGACAATGAGACGACAATTTATTAACGGTCCTGAGACTGAGTGTCAGAACAGAATGTTGGAGCTGCTGCCGCTGTCATTGGTCCAATGCTGCTGACGTTGGACCAATGACACGACCACAGAAACCGCTGTGGTTTTCAGTTCAATAGAAAATCATGCAGAGAGTAATCAGTAACCAGGACCTAATCAGTCAGAGAGGATAATTAGCTTTCTAATTATTTTGATTAGGTTGGTCTGTGTTCATCATACATTATACAGTAGAACCTCGAGGATACTGGTTTAATCGGTTCCACAATGGAACTCGTGTGTTGACTGCATTTTTCCCACTAAAAAATAACTATATATATTTTTAAATTTTATTTTATAAAAAACTAAAGGTTTTGTGTTGACTGCATTTTCCCCAATAAAAATAACTATATATTTTTGATTTTATTTTATAAAAAACTAAAGGTTTGTGACGAACTCTGCAGCTGCTTTGACATCAGAGTCCGCGGCCTCTCCCTATCGTACCACTGAATGGATGCCAGCCCTGGGTTGAGCCACTGGTGACTAGATAATTCCTCGTATCTCAGGGTTCCACTGTAGTGTATTTACAGTCAGAGGTTTGAGTCAGAGTCGGGCGCTGAGATGATGTACCATAGAAGAAGGAGATGCCAATGCACATGAAGAGGGTGATGATGATGAGGCCGAAGCTGGTGCTGAAGGAGTCAATGAGGGTGAACCAGTAAATGCCCCCCTACAGAGAGTCATGGATCAGTGGGTAAGAACCTCAGTAATGACAACAAAAAACACACACACACACAACGACGACGACACACACTCACATCAGTCACTAACAGGAGGCCAAAGAGGTAGAAGCCGAAACACAGCGCCGCCAAGAACAAGGACTTGTGCAGAGTGTTCCGTCGGAGCTGTGGGAACTCGTCCATCACGGCCGTGGTGATTCCTTCCATGTTTCCAAACTGTCAGACGACAAACAGAAGCAGAAGATTCAGTGTATAAAAGTGACGCGTCGGCTGATGGGAACCTCTGTATGTGTGTGTGTGTGTGTGTGTGTGTGTGGAACTCACCAGTGTGTCGATTCCAAGCATAAACAACATGAGGAAAAACAAAATGGACCAGAAGACTGAGCCGGGCAGGAGAGCAAGGGCTTCTGGGTAAGCAACAAAGGCTAAACCAGGACCTAAAGGTAAAACAGTACAGGATGAAGACACATGGAAATGACTTCACTGAGATGAGCCAATCAGAGAGCAGAGTAAGGTCGGCGATGCCTTCACTGTCCTAGGAAAGAGGAGCGATGTGTACTGGCAAGAATCTGGAGATTTGATAGGTACAATGACAGCTCATCACCTGATTGGTTCAACCAGGCTTGTTGTTGACATAATAATAATAATTTGAACTTTATTGATCCCATATTTGGGAAATTCTTGGGTAAACAGCAGATCTGCTGCCCCCTGGAGGCACCAAGTATGTGGACATAGGACATCTCTGCTCTCTGCTTCTAAGGCAGACGTGCTAACTGTTACTCTATGGAACCAATGCAATTATAGACAGCAATGTTATGGAAGTTTTATAAATGAACTGATGTCGTGGTAGTTGACGTGTCCACCTGTGTCTGCCACCTCTCACACTGGGACGCCCTTCCTCCAGGCCATGTGACCCAGGATTGAAAATATGGCAAATCCTGCAAAGAAGCTGGTGCTGCAGTTTCCTATGGTGATGATCAACGTGTCCCTGAAAAAAAAAACCCAAAAAAACACTGGTTACCAGACTGACGTTTCCAGGGGGCGACCAGGAGATCAAAGAGGCCACACCCACCTGATGACGTTGTTGTCGAACTTATTGTACGAAGCCATGGAGAGCAGCCCGCCGACGCCGATGCCCAGAGAGTAGAAGATCTGTGAGGCTGCGTCGTTCCACACCTGCACCGATCAGGACCAGAGGAAAAAACATTTTTACGTTTTTTATTTGTGACGAAGTGCGGACCTGGCAGGCGTGTTAGCGTCGTCTGGGTCGGCAGCTACCTGGGCGTTAGCCAACCGCTGCCAGTCTGGGGTGAGGTAGAACGCCACGCCCTGAAGAGAGCCCTCTAGTGTCGCTCCTCTGATGACCAGAACAATCAGCACAAAATACGGGAACGTGGCCGTGACGTAGACCACCTGAGAGGACGACATGGACGACAGTCGTCAGTCTGTGTGTGTGTGTGTGTGTGTGTGTGTGTGTGAGACCTGACACAGTGACACAGTAACAACACCTTGCCGGAGCTGTGGATTCCTCGGAGCATACACAGGAAGATGATGACCCACGCCGCCAGGAGACACAGACCCAGGGGCCACCGCACGGGGCCCGGGTCATGGAGGCCCTCGCTGTTTACCACGCCCAGCACCCGTTCACTGTCAGACGAGCAAGGCATCAAACAGAGATTTATGTTACAGCGCCACCAACCACCTCACCTGGTGTTACGTTTTTTACTGCAGCGTTTGGATATTTATGCAGGAAATATCTGTGATTTCTGTTCCTTCACATTTTATGACAATGTCCAGATTTAACCAGTTCCTGAAGGCTCAGCAACCACATACTCGGCGCCCCCTATGGGCAGCCTGTTGCAGCACATCCATGTTAACACAAGAATTTCCTCAGTGTGGGATCAATAAAGTTCATAACATTTTTTAAAAAACTACCCAGCTGTTCATTAGAGGCAGGAGCGGCCAAAGAGAATGTGTTATGGTTTTTATCACAGTTTGGTTTTACTGAGGAGC